CACAGTTTTCCGAGCAGTCGCCTTTCCTATGAGGTCGCTGAAAGCTGCACTTTACGATGTGATTACTTAGCTAGCCATAAGTGCACAGAGCAGTCATCAGCCACCAGGCTACCATGGAACCCGCTCACATCATATTTTATAATTCACTTAATGTCGATGCACTTTATACGCGGTTTGAGAGCCTGGAGGCGAATTGATCGTCATCATAGCCGGGGAGAAATTCCCGCAGATTTGGTTTCAAGTGAAACCATTCAAACCTTTTAAACACGGCAAATCCGACTGAGTAAGGCTCGATGAGGGGGCATTGTTGAGATCGCTGTAGAGGGCAAACAGGAGGAGCAGGTTTGTATTAATACGTGTCAATGTTGAAATGTTAAGAAGTTCAGAGAAAGAACAGAGTTCTTCCGTTCTGGTAGCATTTACCACCCGAGCGAACTACTTCTGACGTGGGGTGGGGGAGACCGGTGAAGAAGGTAGTGAAGTTGGCCTTATTGGTTAAGGGTCCTGCCAGAAGCAGCACTGGAGGAGAGCAGATAGTGTGGCTGGACTCCGCCAAGCTAAGTCATCACCAAGGGTTTCGTATTACGGTAATCCTAGATTTCTACAAGGAGTTCTGCCCCACCTTTTGGAAGTGTGCCAAAAAGAGCCTCAACTCCGAGATTTGTTAATTCGTAACCAAGGAAATCTTCCCGCCATTTGATTGCTGAACACCGTTATTTATGTCTCGACTATCCATGCTATATGCAGAGGAATTCACTGAGCCGTAATTACATCGTCTACACATGATTACACGCCTACGATTCAGTTTGTTCGTCGAGGTGTACGTATGGGTGCATTTCGTGCCTTCATAGAACACAGCATTTATCATTGTTAGTGCATGGAAGGCCAATTAGTAGCCGACGAGTCCGAGCTGGGCTGATTTACGAGCACGAATGCCAATTGAAAGGCACCATGCCGGGAGCGCCTAGTACGGGATGAAGCTGGGGATCTTCATGATAAAAGTTAGTCTTTCAAAGCTTTTCCACCGTTGCCCTCGAATGCCATTCCATTCGAGCCGAAAGTTCAGCTCCACCTGTCTCTTCCCCCCCCCGTCAACCTTGAACTCCAAAAGTAAATCTTTATGGAAAAAGAAA